TTCTTACCAATGTCGTTGATGAACAGCACAAATAAAAGTGGTCCTAGCAGTGAGCCTTGAGGAACACCTGACGTGGCAATAAAGGAAGCTGACATGTTAGAGCCATATTTTACAGCAAAAGTCCGATTCTGTAAGTAACTACCGAACCACTGCCACAGATTCCCAACAATTCCATAACCATGCAACTTGGCAAGAGGCAGGGCCGTCCTAAAGGTTGGCGGCACCCGGAGCAAACATGGTCATGGTGCCCCCTCCCCCCCAGCAGTAATAGTCGCATTCGCATATTTTAATACTATGTTAATACAAACAGCCGTTGCTCGGCGCCCGGGGCAGCTTACCCCGGTTGCCCCCCACCCCTTCGGACGGCCCTGGCAAGAAGGTGGCTATGGCTGACCTTCTCAAAGGATTTAGCGAAATCAACGTATATAGCATCCACCTGATTTCCACTGCTAAATGCTTCCAAAATGTAGTCTTGGAAAACCAGTAAATTAGAGATTGTAGATCTGCCCAATGTAAATCCATGTTGCTCTTCCACGACCATTTGCCTAAAACAGGGCTTGACAAAATCCAGCACCAGACCTTCAAAAACTTTACTCACTGCTGATTGGATTGGATTGGAATGTTCAAGAATCGTTACTATTAGATTATACACTACTATCATACACAGATTTTTAAGTCTAGTGATTCTGAACTGGGAGTTTTTATAAATGTTTGACTTAAAACATTTCACAATTTGTTAACACCATTTAGTGAAATCATAGCTTATATAGGTACACAATTTTATACCCTTTTACGAACCTATTTTAAGAATTTGATTGAGCAATGCAATTTTTTGCTACAAGTAAGATTAGATACTAAAATGTAACGATCACACGATTATTTGATGATAGTATGAGTGCATGTCTCAAAACGTGATGAAAGTATCTAAGAAATTGTTTAAGAGCAAAGATCTCATTACAGGGGTCTCACTTCATTAAAACGATAAGATAATTTTTGATCCTGTCAAATTTTGTTGATCTATCAGTATTTATCAGCGCTCGGGTGAGCCCTTCGATAGCCTATGGCTTGAAGGTTACCTGTTTGGGTGTCTTAAGTTTCTTACTTGGTTCAATCTTCTTTTCTTTCAACATTTAAACCACAAAACCCAGTCATTACATACTGCAGCCAGAAACAACACTATGTTGTTTTCTTTGCTTATTTGAAAATAAACGATAACCATGTGATAAAACAAACACCGTTGAAAAAAACATGTTAATTACAAAAATCCCAAATATTTTAGTACAAACATCAAAAGCACCCATAAACACAAAATGTATTAACATTCTCATAAATTTTTGTAATTTTTTTTGTTTCATACTAAGCAGGGTGGCTGAAAAGTAACTTGCAACCACCATTAACTTTTTAACCAATTGAGATATTTGAAATCGCGGCAACCTTCTTAGATAAGAGGGGCTACAGTAAAGATGGTTAATTTTGAAATGTTTGCCTTTCCCCAGATAGGGGTTAGCTCAAAATTTTCAAATGGAAAGTATAGGTAGTCGACTTTGGTATCATTTTACAGATCTTGACGAAAATAAACAATTAACATAAAGAAAATAAAAGTCGGACCACTAATAACAAAATGGCGCCCTAAAACGATTAAAACCTAATCAACCATGAGGAGGGCTGAAAAGTAACTTGCACCCCCCTTAACTTTTTAACCATTTGAGATATTTGAAATTGGTTTGCGGCAACCTTCCTAGTTATAAAGGGCTACAATAATGATGATTCATTTAGAAAATTTTCCCCTTAAGGCAGAGTGGGTATGGGTCAGCCCAAAATTTTCAAATATGAACTATATAGTTGACTTTGGTATCATTTTACAGGTCTTAACGAGACTAAATAATTGATGTAAATAAAATAAAAATCGGACCACTAATAACAAAATGGCACCCTAAAATTAATTAAATCCAATCAACCATGATAATGAAAATTTTTGTTTAAAAAGTCTATTAAGAAATAGTACAAAAAATTACCTTTTTTCAAAATCAGATGATCAAATTGCTTTCCCTGTACCTCCCTGCAGTAGTACAATCTCTGTTGAAATATGTTCCTTACATTTTGGAAAGTTTGATTGTTAATTTGTCTGCAGTCCGTTTCTATCCCTATTCTTAATTCTTCGAGGGACCTTGGCTGTGAGGCATAAACCAATGATTTTAAATGGCCCCATGGAAAAAAATCTAATGGATTTAGGTCTGGCCATTCAATACTACCTCTTCGACCAATCCAATGATTAGGAAATTCAATGTTCAATGTATCCCTTGCATCCCTAGCATAATGTGGAGGAGCTGCATCTTGTTGAAAATATATGGCATCACTGTTGAAAACTGGATTTTCATCTGGTGTTGCAGTTGTTTTTATTAGGTTGTTAAGAGCTGGAATGATTTGTGTTCTTAGCATATTATTGTATACTGACTGTGCCATTTAAATTACCATTTATAATAAAAGGACCTATGATGAAGTCACCAATCATTCCAACCCATACATTTAGCCTCTGCGGGTGTTGAGTGTGGCTTTCTCAGTATCAGCAGTAGGGGTTCTCTTGTGCCCAATACCTACAGTTATGTCGGTTAAGGTGTCCATTAAGTTGGAATGAAGCCTCGTCACTAAAAACTATTTCAAAAGTAGAGATTTCTCTAGATTCCAACTTCTGTGTCATTAATTCACAAAATTCAGTTCTTCTATCAAAGTCATCTTCAGACAGTTCCTGGACTAACGTGATCTTATATGGATGGAATTGGTGGTTTTTTAAAACTTTGTTCACTGCCCACCTACTTATATTATGTTGTTGTGCAACTCCACTTGCTGAGGATTAACAGAAAACTCTGCTAAAACGCCTGCTTCTGTTAATTCGCCTGTGCTAGGCCGACCGGATCTGGGCTCATCCACAACACTCCCTGTACGATGAAACTTTTTTACTAGATTAGACACAGCTTGTTTAGTGATTTGATGTTCAGGATGCCTTTTGTTGCTCCACTGTAAGTGCCAGTTTGCCCAAACAGTAAAACAATTTGTACTAATTCTGACTAAACCATGACAAATTACAAACCAACATACAACAATCAAAAAGCCGCAATAGTTTAGGCCTGCAGTTTGGTCATGTACAATATATGGGCAGTTCTCAGTACTACTGAACCTTCAACTAGAAAAAAAGAATTCGACAAACCAAGGAAACCGGACAGAGATTACTGATAACAGCAATTATGGAGAGTTTGGGATTTTCCAGGTACTGTTTTTTAACCACACATCTTATTAGCAATGATCCGAAATAGAAAAAATGTTGCCTTGATACAAATTGAAAGTGAATTAAAATTAGCTATATTTTTACCACCACTTTACATGAATTCTGATTAAGACACTGGTAAAAGTATTTTTTAGCTGCCATTTTGTTATTTGGGGTCATATTTCCATCTTATTTATGTCAATTGTTTACTTTTGACAAGATCTGTAAAATGATACCAAAGTCGACAATACTTCCATTTTGAAAATTTAGAGGTAACCCCTACTCCTCTTAAGGGAAAAATTTTCAAAATTAACGATAATTATTGTAGCCCCTCTGAAGGTTGCCGCAAACCGATTTCAAATGTCTCAAATGGTTACAAAGTTAAGGGGGGGGGGGGACGGGGTGCAAGGTACTTTTCAGCCACTCTGTATACATTTTGCTAAAACACACTTTATTATCCTATATGTTGCAACAAACCTAATTAGCTACTCATTAAACCTAATTGTATTTAAAAAGGGGGGATAAATTTTACATGTTTAAGGGAACATTTAAGTGGAAATCAAATCAGGCAAATTAAATTTGCTTAGTCTGCAGGTTTGCTGTGGCGGGGGTTTGAAGCTTTAATAGAATTCCTACTTCAAGGCAGTTTAGCTATATTTTGTACTAGTCTAAAACAAGAAGTTTAGTTAACATGTAATGACACATTTTCCTATATTGTCATTGCAATTACTAAAAATGACATCAGCATCAGTGTTTAGTTCATGTTGGAAATCATGCAGTAATATATCTAAGGTTTAAGGTTTTAATTTTATTATTCTACACTTAATTTTCCTGAAATGTGAATTAATTTAATGTACGGCAACTTTTACCCAAAATAGTTTACACGTAATTGTGCTTGTGGTTCATCTTAATGTATATTGAGCTAAGTTTTTCATGTTAACACAGAAGAATTCTAACAAGGTAAGTCATTTGTATAAATTTATCGAAGTAGTGTGTAAAATTATCTCTTTATTCTATTATGAACACAGAATAGGGGAAAGTTGTAACACAAAAAACAATTTTTAGTTATTTCTGTTCAAGACTGATCATCTTTAAAATGTAAACTTGTAAGAATTACAATGTAGAATTTCCATTAAAGATTTCTTGCCAGGTTGATACTAGTATGTAAATCAGGGTTTCATCAATGTCAGCATCAGCAAAACCTATTTCAAATTCAAATTGTTTATTTGGCCATTAAACATTACATAATAGGCTATGTCTATACATAATTCAATTTAAGTATGTCAAACAAATAGTTGACCAGGGGATATTTTGATCACTTACCCATTAATATCTTTGCTTGAGCTTAGATAAAATAGGATCTTTTTTTGTGCTCAACTAGGTACAACTTTCTTTACTAAATTCTAGAATGGTACACATAATTTAATAGCCAGGGTCTAGTTAAGATAAGCCCTGATGCGGAAATCCCATAAAAATGTCAATTCATTTATTCATTATTGAGTTATCTTGACAATGTTCTCATTGGTTTAAATAGTTTAATTTAATTACACACAGTTAATTCCAGAATGCAAAAACAGGTTGCCCAATTCTTATATGGATAAATGACAATATTGTCTGTTGGAGATAAGGCCAAAGTAATTTTCCTAGGTTTATCTTTTGTGGCTTAGCACAATGAACTGCAGATAACCTTTTGAATGTAGACTTGTGAGATATCTGCTCACACTGATCCCATTCTGTCTTCAAACTTGGTCAGAAGTAGACCTATGTGAGAATTAGGGAAAGGCATTCACATAAATTGTATTTGCTAGGTTAAAATAATATTTGTCTATTACTTGGGATTTAAGTTTTCTGGGGAATTATTTTTCACTTGTTATTATTGCTTTTTTGATTTAGAGTAAAGAACTTAGTTGTATCTAGTATTTTTGTCACGTGGGAACTTGTCTTTTAACAATGCCTGCTGCTAAACTCCCTCATAAAGGGATAGACATCAATGAGTTGATAGGGGAGGGGGTGAGGTTACTTAAGGAAGGTGACTTGTTAGATCAAGACATGAAAACAAAAATGGTGAAGGCTTACAAGAGTATGGATAGGCACATTCCAGTGCCTTACACTCAAATATCAGCACCGAAGGAAACCAAAGTGAGTAAAAAAACACCTATTCAACGTTTTAACACAATGTTTAGCAAAATAATACAATAAGTTTGGTTTTAGAATGAAATAAAATGTGTGTTTGAAAACCTAACCTCTAAGTGTTCCTTTCCTGTGATTTTGGGATGTGTTTTAATTAGTTGTTTTGTATGTATTACTATTAAAAAAAAGGAAAACATATTAACAAATTAAAAATAACCATACTACTGCCGGTACTTCTAATTTTAAGTATGTATGTAAATTTATTGATAAGAGAGGTAGGTAAAATTGATAAGATGTTAGATCAACTTGGTCAGTAGAAGTTTATTTGTTGCTTAATTAAATACTAAACCTAAAATGGGAACACAAGATTCATTCTTTGTAAAAACCTTGTAAAGTCTAAATGTCTCTTTAGAGTAAGAAGATCATGTTGCATCATAAAAAAACACATTTATTCATGAGTATTAAATTAAGACATATCATTATAACATCCAAATTTAATCAAACAGCAACTCATTCTTATAATTTATAACTATCAACAGTAATAGATTAAAATCAAATGTAAGTTCATAGATATAAAGTCAATGATTCTATGCTGGAGATTTGTAATCAACTTGTGTCAGTTTTGCTATGATATATACTTGCAGTGTGACATTTCCTAAACTTAATGGAAATGCTTTTTTTCTTTGGGTATTTTCTTTGGAATGCAGAATTTACTAAATCATATTTTAAAGTTTATTTATAAAGGTAATATAAGTCTGTGGCCTACCAAAATGTGGAATTTTATTTTATAAATGAATAATATCAATAATACTTTGCCTAATCTGGAAATAACCCCCATACTAACATAAATATTGTTTTAACAAATACAAATTGAAAATTTTAACATTATTCTGTATGACAGAATATGAGCAAATTTCCCTTTAAGGAAATGTCTATTACTGCAGTGATCATGGCGAGAACTTATTTTAAAGCCACAAACTGTACTTTTTTAGTTCAGGGTTATCCAAATACAAAAATAAACATTCTTTCAAATTGTTAATTCTGATCTTGTATGTCTGTTATTTCCATAAAGTTTAGTTCAAACAAATAAAAAAAAATCTAAATGAGTAATCAGCCTAATGTGCCTATTGAAAGGGGTATTTTACACGAAACGGTATCTATAAAGATTTTAGTTCTAATCTCTGTATATTTCCCCTAATAATTCTAATAAATAATAATAATTCTACTAATAATGATTCTAATGAGGAATCAAATAATCAATGTACATTAGTAATTGATGAATAAAGCATCATTAAACTACACAAATTTCTTTATTTTATAGTAGTTTTTGAAAATTTATCAAAACATATTGGTGGTCCTTCTAGCACAATGTTTAGTATGTATAGGGCAAGCATATGATTTTCCTTTTATTTTTAACCTGCTTAGCAAGGAACTGAATAAATCAACTTTTAATTCTTTTAGTAAGCAATATTCCTGCAACAGGAGTATTCACTTATTATTTTGCATTCAAATTAAGTTATATTTTTAACATTCTTTTAGTAAACACATTTGGTCTGACACCAAGGTTGGGGGACTATTAATTATATTGCATTCAAATTGAGTTTTATTTTATCAGGGGTGGAATAAATAATTCTTTTCAAATTACTCTTAGTCAATGTGTCTATTTTGTTGATCAACTAGTTCAAAAGGAATATTATTTTCTGGTCAACATGGCCTCAACTTTAACCAAATATACATCCATGATATTAAAAAAAATCAAATTCATAGCTGCCAAACTAAACAAAAATAATTAATTAATAGATAAACATGACAATAGAAATTCAGCCATATGTTCAAACTACCCTTATCTTTATCAACACTTTTTATTGGGCAGAGGAATGCACCAAATTTTAACATGTTACTGTAAACATTACAAATTTAAGCGCTTATGCCATATTAGCTAATGATTCATAGCAGCTAATATCATAATCCTGCCCTTTTGGGGAATCCAAAATGAGGAATGATTAATTAAAATTAACAACTGAAATACAAAACTTAAGAGGTACTTTTTTGTTGAATAGCCTTATAAATCTTTTCACTCAAATTGTAAGGATTTTTAATAGCTTCGTATTCAATATGGGAATGGACCTTTAGGTTCAAAACCAGTTTTCATCAAACCAAAATATATGTGATCACATAACGTAATGTAAACCTAATTTACGAGGCATACAAATGTATAACAAGACAGACACACTATTCAAGCTTTAACAACCATTTTTTGTAGAGTAATTCATCAGAGGCAGTTTTTTTTCCTTCCGTGTACTTTATTGTGTGGATAATTTTCATTCCTTTATGAAGAATCTTGATTCTACTCTTACTAAACAAACTCCTTAACTTAGAGGCTATGTACAGTCACTATATTATGTTATTTAACACCAATTTATTGAGTATAGCATGTCTTCATTTCCACAGTGGCTCTCTAACATTTTAATGAAGTTGAAACTTTTCTCTGTACTCACTTCTAGACAGTCTTATGGTAATAGTTCATATTTTGCTCTTCAAGGAAGCTTAAAAAATTAGAACATAAACTAAATCTAAAACCAACTTCTTAGAAAAATCATAAAATCACTAAAGCACTTATATTAGGGTATCAGTTTTGATAACTAATTTATTAAACATTTTTTTACTTATCAGTCAAAGTTCTTGTTGTGTTGTAGTGTTTAACAGTAGAGGATGAAAAGAAAAAGAGAAAAAGAAAAACCATTAACATAATAGTTATTTTAAAGGATTTTAAAACCAATTCCTTCCTTGGGTAAAATAAACACTGCTCTCAGAGAAATTAGATCAATTGTTGATGATTGTTTTAGTTTTATCATCCATTATACATTATTTTACCTAGCTATTCAGTAGCGGCCATTGACCACTAAAATAGGTGGGCGGTGGTTTTATTTTGCATAGGCTTTACATGCATATTTCTATATATTCCTCATATATGCCCCCTTAATTCCCGCCAATGTTGCTAATATTGAACTTGTGTATGATTTGTTCATATAGAGGATTTTATTTCACCCTCTTTTACAATTTGGATTCTAATTTTACAAACAGTTTTGATAACTGAACCACCTAGGTTGTGTCCCAATTGACAAGCTTTCTGGCTGCTTTCTACTTTTCTAGTTGATCAAATATTGGATACCATCCTTGTTTGAACAAACAGATAAATATACAGTTTTATAGGCAATAAATAACAATGTTGACAATTTTTAAGGGTTTTTAGAGTCACTTTCAATCAAACTCAATTTCTGAATACAACGTTCAAATTTTCTCATATTACTTATTACTTTAAAACTTTGCTTTCGTGAGTTTCAGTACAGTACATCCTTTTAAATTTTTTATGCAGGGAAGAAAATTACACAAAAAAATTCACTGCTGGAATGTTAATATAATCCCCAATAATTTTTTTCCTTTAAATATGTCCCCAATGAAAGAACTAAGCCACTTAAAGTCAGATTAACCTAAAAAAAAAAGCAAACATATGTCTAATTAGCCCACAATAATGGTAAAAGGCCACAGATCTTTTAGTATACTTTAACAAAAAGTTAACCCCCTTTCGGCTGTTGGGGTAATGTGAAACTGAGTCAGTTTCTTATGTAGAGACAGATGCTGACATGACGGCAGGACAAGCCGAGATGATGGGGTCCGAGCTGACAACTCGCTTGGAGGGTGAGTCACATTATACCCACCCCGGACCTGTCAATAAACAAAATAAACTGCTTATATCCAACATTATTCATGTACACCTTGTTAAATGAAAGGATCTCTGTACTGCAATCCTTTCATTTTACCTTGGTATGTAAACTTTATAAGGTTCACCACACTCACCTGTAGTGCATATACACCTGTACATCAATGATGAATTATTACTTGTGGGAAATAAGTATTCACAAATTATGTGTAGCATAGTAGCCAAAAGTGTTTTAAATTCATCACTCTGGGGTGATGGAACAGAAAGTCATCAATCATCTCCCCTGTAATTGCTAACTTTGTCACTCAGTTCCAACCATTGGTCATAACATATCATACTTTGCCAGGGAACTTGTTGGCAGCATAGAGTTTACTTTACCCAACTAAGCTAAGCAAGTATCCACCTATATTGTAGACTTACATGTCTGTCTTAGATCTGGGCTATGGGTTATCTACTGGTCCAGTAGCCATAAATGAAACTTTAGATTCAGCTTGAAATTATGAGGAAGAGTCAGACCAAGAACCGCATATTTAGGATTTATTCATTAAGGCCTACGATATACTAATAAGGATAAACACACCTTATCCTAACTAGATGGTTTTTGGTGTTGTTTTTCTCAGTTAAGCTGACAATGTTTTGGTCTTCCTAAAGATTAAACGATGAATCTATAATGCCTGCTAGACCAGCAGAAGACTCATAGCAGACAAATAAGCACTACAGTAGGGGATGGTGATTAGTTTGGACATTTACTTTGGAATATAACATGAAATCAAACACAAAAAATCACAGACGAAAACCACCACTTTCAGGTTATCAACTGTATAGAAAAGACTTTTCTTGTTATAATAAACATTCGTTGTACTTGCAAAATAAAACGATGCTCTAACAACGAAAATTTGCAAAAAACTAACAGTATAGGACCATGTTGCAAATTATTTTGAGTTAAAATGTCTTGGTATTTTAAACTCTAAGACCTGTAGATAAACTAGATGTTATAGGAGTGAAAAGTTTTATATCTTTTTTCGCTAACCCAGTTTCAGGAAATTAAATTATCTTTGTCGCCGTTGCCTGTGTTTTTGAGACAGTAAGATGTTTGTGTCATCCTATGATGACCCCTATTCCTATTGAATATCCTATTGAAGACCCCCTTGAAGATGTCACACAAGCAGGCAATATGCATAGGGTAACACAAATATCTTACCTTCTCAAGAACACAGGCAAAAACAACAACGGTAATCTAATAAAACTATTTTAGTAGACATTTACTAAATTTATTTATGTATTCTTT